GATTCCTGGGATGCGCCATGCGCTGGCTTCTACTGAAAATCGCGGAGGTGATTGATTGTGCATTTCAGCTATACTTAGGTTCTGGTAGCAAATTTAAGCCATTACATTCCTGAAAGAGTACGATACTAATAAATCGGTTAATAAACCGGTCTCGGGCCAAAAATCGATGTATTGATTCTGAGCTCGGTATGGTAATACGTGTAAATGAGAAGCAGCGCTACGCCAACTTTGCCTTATCGGAAAATCGAGAGAAAAGTGAAAATCGAAAGGGATATATTCAGGTTCTTTTTCGGGTTATAAAAAGCAATTCATATCCTTGAAAATACACTGCGAACAGTCGATATGCTGTCGAACAGCCGAAAAAACACAGCGCGCAGTTCATTTGCAACTCGTAACGATGAACGACTGTACAAAATGTGGGAAAAAGATGGGAAGACTACGTTGGCTCGAAAAAACGCGGAACTGCAGTTGTCGTCCTAAGCCAATAATATTTGATGAAAGCCCCCCTGGGCAAACAAAAGAAAAGGAAACCTCCACAGGTCAGAAATTTCCTCTGATGGTTGGAGGACCCGCGAATTGCCTCGGAAGTGAAATTAGCCGTGTTACGGTAGGAAAACAAGACCTCGCTTCTAGAAAAACCCCTCAGATAGTTGACATCGATGTTTCAAAACGTGTTCTTTCTGTTTTCGTCCGTGGTCGTCAAGACCACGTCGTTATTACTGTAGAAGCGATCACAAAACGAAACAACATTCAGGAGACGAAAAATCAGATAGACAAGTTCAACCCGTGGTGTCCCGGGGACTAATCGTTGCTCTCAAGGGTCCGGTGTAAAAAGTAAAGGGAGTGCGTTACTCGGAATTTTAGAAAAGGGGGAGAATCGATGAGAACCTGTCGAGATGGTCCCAAAACTCAAGGAGGCCATCATGGCACAGGTCTTGGGGACTTCCAACGGCCGTGAAAACGTCCCTGTTTCTGAGAAGTCCCATTCAACATAGTCGAAAACAGGATTTGCCATTGATGGAGGTCGTTGCAATCGATTCGCATTAGAACGGCGCAACAGAAGTGATTGTCGATTAGGGCTAAATTTAGCGCTCATCGTGCTATTCACTGACCTTGTAAAGTCCTGTGACTTTTCTAAG